ATCCACAATTCATTGCATTTCCCATCAGGTCCAATCAGGGGCAAGCACACATCCTGACACATTTCCTGCCTACATACCTCCCACACATGTGTGAGCAAGCACACGTGGAGTAGTTGAGCCAAACAAACTTATTTAGGGAGTGAAAACTTGGCTCGTTACCTCCCATAAACAGTAGCCTCCAGCATTTCAGGAACTCTCTGTCCTTGGGCAAGGGACTTGCAGCTCAGGGGCATTTTTGCTTCCTGGATCTCTTAGGCACAGTAATTATAACTTAAAATGTAACTTTGGCTCTCACAGAACCCCAGGCATTCTGGGAAGCATTCTGTCAGCTGAGCTGCTGTCCCAGCTGTCCTCCAGGACTTTACATATAGTTTTCTTTGTGTGTATGTATGTGTGTGTGTGTGTGTGCGTGTGTGCACAGGCTAGGGGTTGACAGTGGGCCTCTTTCTCAGTTGCTTTTCATCTTATTTTTTGAGACAGGGCTCAAACTGAACGTGGAGCCCCAGGAAGCCTCCATCTTCCCAGCACTGAGACCTTACAATAGACTTTTTATGTGTTTTTTTGGGATCTGAACTCAGGTCCTCACGCCTGTCCGGCGAGCACTTTGCTGATGGAGCCATCTCTCCAGCCCCAGTGAACTCTGTTTTTGAGAGACATTCCATTCTGCATTCCCGCTGACTGTAGCCTCATTACATAGCCATTCCGGCCTCCATCTCCTGGCAGCCTTCCTCCCTCCGCCTTCTGAGAGCTGGGATTGCAAACGTGAATCACCACACCCAGCAGGTCAATGATGCTTGTCTGAGAGGAAGAGAGTGGATCCTTGCAGCCTGCGACAGCACAGGCGACCAATCAGTGGACTTAGCCAAAGGTTTCTGAGTTAACACGTCATGGAGACACCCACGGAGCGGGTTCGGGTTCACTGTAGCCGAGCTATAGAATCAACCCTGGTGTCCCCAAGCAGAGGGTGGACATGGTTTAATCAGTACTGTTATACTTACATGACTGAGCCATTCCACATGGCAACATTTTTTCCCCAAAGACAACTTTTAGTGTGTGTTCATGTGTGTGTGTGTGTGCTTCGTGTGTGTATGCTGACAAGTGTGCACACGCTTGCACATGCATGCAGAGGCTGGAAACTGATGCTGGGTGTCTTCTTCAGTCTCTCTCCACCTTAGTTTTCCGACAGGGCCCCTAAATGAACCCAGAGTTCATCGGTTCAGCTGGACCAACTGGCCAGTGGGTTCTTGATCTCAGACTCCTCTGCTTTCCCAGCACTGGGGTTGCAGGTGTACGCTGCCATGCAGGGCTTTTATCTGGGTGCTGGGGAGATGTGCTCAAGTCTACATGCTTGTCTAGCCAGCACTATGTGCACTGAGCCATCTTGTACCCTCCTCTATGCCTGGCTTATGCAATACTGGGGACTGAACTCAGGCTTTGTGCATGTTAGGCAGGCACTCTGGCCTCCTAGCTACATTCCCAGCCCCAAGGACAACTTCTTCTTCTTCTTCTTCTTCTTCTTCTTCTTCTTCTTCTTCTTCTTCTTCTTCTTCTTCTTCTTCTTCTTCTTCTTCTTCTTCTTCTTCTTCTTCTTCTTCTTCTTCTTCTTCTTCTTCTTCTTCTTCTTCTTCTTCTTCTTCTTCTTCTTCTTCTTGAGACAGGGTTTCTCTGTAGCTTTTGGAGCCTGCCCTGGAACAAGCTCCTGTAGACCAGGCTGGCCTTGAACTCAGAGAGATCCACCTGCCTCCACCTCCTGGGTGGAGTGCTGGGATTAAAGGAGTGCGCCACCACCACCTGGCTACAAGGACAACTTCTTAAGAATACACCCCAAATCTATAAACTTGGGGTCCTTTATAAGAAATGAACTAAATGATCTCAATCGAGGTGTGAGCAGAGAGTGGGTCAGCTAGAGTGTTCCAGAAGGCTAGCCCTTTTCTGAAACCCTTCACGAGTCTCTGATGACCCCTTCTCCTCTTTCCTGCACTTTCCTGGCCTTCTCCACCAGCAGCAGGGAGAGAGCCCTAGAGCAAACACCAGAGGAGCCCATCCAGAGACAGTCCCAGCCTGACAGTTAGAGGGCTGGGGTAGGCAGTCACAGGCGCTGTCAGGGAATGAGGCACTTGGAAGGATCATGGGTTTGGCTTTGTCAGTCTGGACTCCCTCCCCAGGACTCTGATAGCCTGTCGCGACACAGGTGATACCATCACCCTAGTGATGATACCATCACCCTAACTTAGAAAGACTCACTGATTCCTTAAAAACTGTTGGGGTGCTGACCAGGCTGGCCTCAAACTCACAGAAATCTATTGATCTCTGCCATTTGAGCGCTGTGGTGAAAGGTGTGAGCTACCATGGATGGTTGTTATTCCTTTCTTTTTAAAAAATTATGTATGGGGCTGGAGAGAGGGCTCAGTGGTTAAAAGCACCGCCTGCTCATCTAAAGGTCCTGAGTTCAATTCCCAGCAACGCTCACAGCCATCTGTAATGGAATCTGGTACCCTATTCTGGCCTGCAGGCATGCATGTAGGCAGAATACTGTATACACAATAAATAATATGTATGTATGCATATATGTATACTTGTGTGTATGTGTCTGTGTGTGTATGTGGGCCTATGTGTGTGTGTATAGGTGTGTACAGTGGGATTATATGTCATCTATTGTGTGTAAGAGTCTATGTGTTGAGGGGTCTATGTGTGCATGTGTACCCATAAGTGTGTGGAGGGGTCTATGTGTGCACGTGTACCCATAAGTATGTGGAGGGGTCTATGTGTGCACGTGTACCCATAAGTATGTGGAGGGGTCTATGTGTGCAGTGTACCCATAAGTATGTGGAGGGGTCTATGTGTGCACGTGTACCCATAAGTGTGTGGAGGGGTCTATGTGTGCACGTGTACCCATAAGTATGTGGAGGGGTCTATGTGTGCACGTGTACCCATAAGTGTGTGTGGGGGTCTATGTGTGCAGTGTACCCATAAGTGTGTGGAGGGGTCTCTGTGTGCATGTGTATCCATAAGTGTGTGGAGGGGGTCTATGTGTGCACGTATGTGTACCCACAAATGTATGGAGGGGTCTTGTGTGCATGTATGTGTACCCATATATGTATAGAGAGCAGAAGCTGATATCACCAATATTCCTTACTCTATGGCTCTTTTTTTAAATAATTATTTTTATGTGTAAGGGTGTTTTGCTTACCATAAATCTATGCACCACATGTATGCAGTGCCCATGGAGGCCAGAGGAATATGTTGGATCCCTTTGGACTGGGGTTAAGGACAGTAGTAAGTTGCCATGTGGGTGCCGGGAATTGAACCCAGCTCCTCTAACTCCTGCGCCATGTCTCCGGCCTTCGCTATGACTCTTCACCTTGTTTTTTTGAGACAGGGTCTCTCACTGAAGCAGAGCTCACCAGTATCCTAGCCTGGTTAGCTATTAACCCCCACCTCCTGTGTCCACCTGTTTCTATCCCTTCGTCTCTGGAGTTACAGATGCGTGCCGCCACACCCAGCTTCTGCAAGCATGCTGGAGAGCTGAACTCAGGTTCTCATTTGTATGCAGAAAGCCCTTCACCCACTGAGTCATCGTCCCAGCCCTGACCATCGGATCTTTGGCTCAGTCTCACTGGGATCCTGGCATTGCTCAGCAGTGCCATCCTCCCGATGTGCGTATTTCCTAGCCTGCACCACCCTGGGCCTGGTCCCTTCAGTTAGAATCAAAAAGAGGCTGGGGGATTAGCTGTCTTTCAAGGGCAATGGTCCTTTGTGGTCCCATCATGCAGAGCAGAGCTTGCGCCGAACCAGCTCCCTTTGACCAGCTTCTCTTGGTCCCTGGGAACTCATTTGTGGGTGAGTCACGGTTTCATCTGTCCATTTTTAGAAAGATACAGTTGGGATTTTGCGTGTAGATGTGAGAGTAAAAACAGGACTTAACCATGTGGGGAGCAAAAGAGAGTTTTGCAACCCAAACCCCAAAGGAGAAGTGTGAGCCTCTTCAGCTTCCTCCTGACAGTGGGGATCAATGTCACTCGCCACTGGGGACCAGCAGGTGGCAAGAGTAAAAATGGGCTCCCTCGTGCCAGGGCAGAATGAGGGTAGTGGAGGCACCTGGGGCTTCTCCTTCTGGGTGCCAGGGTGATGGGTGAAGGCTAGTGCTGAATGGGTGAAGCCACCCACCCTCTTGTGCAAACAGGGCTGCTCAGATCTGGTCTTCCAAGCACACGGGGTGTGGATTCTGGAGGAAGCCTCTGCTTGGACCACATTGTGCTCAAAGTCCATGGTGGGAAGGCACAAGGCAAGGGAGCCAGACTTTTCTTGCTCCTATTCCAAGCCAGGGCACCATTCCTCTCCCACTCCCCCTCGTCCTCCCAGTGTTTTTCCTCCCCTTCTTCAGCCTGATGATGGGGAAGGACTGAGAGAGAAAGAGAAAATAGAGCCCCGGATAGAGTGCGCTGCATGCACACCTAGCCCTGGTCTGAACCCACGCCTCCCCATGGCTCTCCACAGCTCCCCGCATCTCCCCATGTCTCCCCACACCTTCCCATGTCTCCCCACATCTTCCCACTTCTCCCCACCTCTCCCCATGTCTCCCCACACCTTTCCATGTCTCCCCACATCTTCCCACTTCTCCCCATGGCTCCCTACATCTTCCCACAGCTCTCCATGGCTCCCCATGGCTCCTTACATCTCCCACATCTCCCCACGTCTCCCCACATCTCCCCGGGTGCCCTAACACTAAGAAACGTGGTCCCTAGCCCTTGCACAGCCTCCCTCTGCAGGTGTGCCAGGCAGATGCAGAGTGGAGGAGGACTATGAAGGAGGCACAAAGACAGCAGGCGCATACTCATGGCTCTCCAAGCCCTCTCTTCTTATCTACTTTGTGAGTTAGCCTTTAGGGTCACCTTCTCCCTGTTCTTCACCACATCGTTGACAAATGGCCCCTCCCAGCCCTCGTTTCACACAGCTGAAGCACGATTAATAAAAACCCAGAGGCAGATATTGGGGTTCAACCTGAAGACCAGAAAAGCAAAGCAGCCAGCCGCTGGCTCTTACCTTGACCTCAGTCAGAAAATGGCCATCCTGCCTCCAGGAATCTCAGAATGAGACAAACTGAGAGCTGTCTGTCTCCTGTTTTATAATCCTCTCTAGTTCTCGGATTAAAGGCATGCACCACTACCACCTGGTTTCTATGGCAACTAGTGTGGCTACTAGGATTAAAGATGTGTGTCACCGCTGCCTGGTATGTAAGCCTGACCAGTGTGGCTGTTTTGCTTTTCTGATCCTCAGACAAGCTTTATTTATTAACATACAAATGAAATGCCACCACACACAGCTCTGTCTCCACCAACTCCATTGTCAACCTCAGGCTCCCAACACTGCCTGGCAACTACCTGAAAAACAGACCTTCCTGCCCCAGCTTCTCTCGGCCCTCTCCTCAGGCCTTCTCAGTGCCAGGCCTCAGTCCGAGGGAGGCAGCCATGACTTTCCTTTCTCTTTGTCGTGTGTCACTCTGTGTGTGACACATGAACATCTTCTTCTGTTTATCACTCAGTCAGAGGTGGAGGAGTGTCTAGGTGCGTGCACCTTATACATCACACACACACACACTGTGTGTGTCTCAGCGTCAGCTTCCTAGAGGACCTGGAATAGATACAGGTGATGGGTACCTGAGCACTCCTATTCTCTCTCTCTGTCCGTATGTCTCAGTGTTAAGGCCTCCAAGGAGGAGTCACTTTGTCCCTGAGTGAGCTTGGACTGAAGTGAGTGAATTCAGCCTTCAGCCCGAGCGTTGGTTGGCACCTGGACATAGCTCTCCCTAGCGTTGCCGGTGTCTGTCTGAGGTCTGGCCCTTCCCAAGGCTGCTGATTGCGTTAGCCTCTGGGCATGCTATGTCCTTTACAGATGATGCTTTTGGGCATGCCGTCTGTCATGACACACAGTGATGTCACTGCCGGTTGCAGCATAGCCCGCACCTGTGTGCATAGACTTACCCCATTAGGGACGGTCTAGGTCACGTGCCTCAGACGCTCCATGGTCATGCCCCTGCAGATCCTCTCTTCCTCAGTTTTCTGTGACCTGCCTGTGGTCTCTGCTCCTAGAGGTCAGAGGGCCTGCACTGCGATTAGGATGAGGGAGGAAGGCAGGGTGCTGGGAGGCTGGAACCTGCCTTTTCAGGGGTTCCTGACTGGCCGTCTTTTCCTTAGCTACAAAGCGTGTGTTTGGGGACTGGAGAAGTGACTCAGCCCGTAGGGTGCCCCCTGTGAAAATCCAAGGGCCTGAGTTTGACCCCAGGTGTAAAAGGCTGGTGTGCATGTGTTGTCCTTGTACAGAAGAATCAGAGATAGGCAGATCCCTCAGGCTTCTGGACAGCCAGCTTAGCCTAACTGGCGAAACCCCAGTGAGAGGGAGACTGAGATTGTCTCAAAAAAGTGGAATGAAGCCTGGGGTTGATCTGTCATACACACATGCACACACATACACACAGAGACATATACACATGCACACACACATATACATACACAGAGACATACACTTACACAGGCACACATATACACACACAGAGACATACACACATATGCACACACATACACACAGACACAGAGACATATGCACACATATACACAATAGAGACATACACGCACATGCACACACATACACACAGACAGAGACATACACAGACACACACACACATACACACACACACACACACGCTGCCCCAACCAACCCATCACAAAAGTCAGCCTAGCCAAAGTCTGCGTTTGGACCCAGTTACTTCAGATCCTGGAACTAAGAAAAACAAAGGGGCGAGGACAAGCTAGTGGGTGGAAACTTCTCTGGAGCCCAGCTCCTATGTCGTATGGAATATGTGCTTTTTAGTAGCAAATTGTCATTATCAAATGAAGGTTATACATATGCACCAAAATCTAAATGGGACCTAGAGAGATGGTTCATCAGATAAAGACACTTGTCACCAATCCCCACAACCTGAGTTTGATCCCAGGACCCACCTGATGGAAGGAAAACCTTGATTTTTGCAATTTGTCTTCTGAGTTCCTTCATGGGCACACACACATGCATACGCACACATATACACATTTACACATATACACGCAATTGATCAATCAGTCAGGGTTAAAACTTTTCAAAGAAGCTGAAACAGCTTTCACTGTGGTTGGCGTTCAAGGCGGCGTTGCAGAGAGACAATATGGCTGCATCTGACAGGCTTACAGACGCCATTACTTCCTGATTAGTCAGATGATGCCTCAGACTCAGGACTAGTTGGCCTATCCTAGAGAACATTGCATTGCCTGCTCAGATTCAGGACTAGTTGGCCTATCCTATAGAACTTGGCATTACCCTCCCCCACCCCCGCACCTTTTTGGGTCAGGGTCTTGCTCTGTAAACCAGGCTGACCGCTGGCCTTGAACTCAGAGATCCACCTGCTTCTGCTTCAGGGAGTGTTGTGATTTAAAGCCGTGGGTAGGCTTTGCTTTCTGATAAAATTGTCTATACTTGGAGAGAGGAGCTGAAGCGGTCCCCACCCTTTGGTGCAGTTATCACCCTGGCAAAGAGCTTATCTGGTAAAAATAACTGAACAGGAAAAAGAAAATTCCACAGATTAAAGTGCTGTGAGATTTGTATTTGCTAAAAATAGGAAGGAAACCAAATGTGTATCAACAGAATTATAAGTACAATAGTAGTGTAGGTGTGTCTAGCCATGCAGCCCCAGACAGCAGTGACCACGGAGCAACACCAACATAAACTTACTTGAAACCTATGAGATTTTTGAAATAAAAAAAAATTTATTTACTAAGCCCGGCATGGTGGTATATACCTTTAATCCCAGAACTTGGGAGGTAGAGGCAGGTGATTTCTATGAGTTCTAGGCCAGCCTGGTCTACAAAGAATTTCAAGACAGCCAGGGTTACATAGAGAAAACCTGTCTTGAAAAACCAAACAAGTTTTTCTGGTTTTGTTTTTGTTTTTACTTATTTTTTTGTGCATGCATGTATGTTCACCACGTGTTTGCCTGGTGCTCTCAGAAACCAGAAGAGGCTGTTGGATCACCTGAAACTGGAGTTAAAGACCATTGTTAGACACTAAGTGGGTTCTTGAAATTGAACCCTAGTCCTCTGGAGTAGCAGCCAGTGCTCTTAGCCACTGAGCCATCTTTCCCGTCTCCCCACTTCGGTAACTAAATTTTGAGGTTCTCAGTTGTGACTGCTGTAGAAGACAGCGTTGTGTTGCAATGTCAACATGCTGGACATGCCTGTGAGGGCTGTGACTCCGTCTGCCACCCTTGGAACAAACACGCAGACTGCCAAGGAGACATCAGACACGCCACAGTGAGCCACATGCCACGGCTTCCTCAGTGCCACCATCACGGGGGGGAGACTTCTCAAATGGGTATTACAGTGCTACACAGGAACAGAGAGCAACTGGGACCCAGCGCTTTTTAGAAAGCAAGTTACAGAACTGTGCAGTCCCCAGTCAGTGGGTGCAGCTGTGAGGGTCTCCTGTGGTTAGACCACATGATGCTTTCGGGTTGAGCGCAGAAAGCAAGCTGCTCTCACAGGCTCTTGATTGGCAGCAGGGAGACGGTTAGGGGTCTGTAGATCTAGGTGCCGCTGAGCATCACTGTGGGAATGGGGGTCTCCTGCAGGCTCCTCCCACTCCATCTGCGCTGTCACTCAGAGGCAGCTCAACAGTGCCAGACACAGGGGAAGCTAAATTCCTGGCTCATTTGCCATGTGAGAATAGATGAGGCCACCACTGTCCCTTTTCTATATGTGAGGGGCTGAAGCTCTGTTGGTTCCGGTCTCCCCAATTACAAATGACAGAGCTAGGATATAAATCCATCCCTTCACTCTGGGGTGAGATTCTTTCTCCCGCCTCCCCCGGTGGGGGGTGTTGAGAGAAGCAGAGGGATATTGGAAGGGACCTGGCAGCAGCGTGGGTGACGTTCTTTGGGAAGGAGGAGGAGGCAGTGTAGAGTCTATTTTTGAACTGCATCTTATGTCTCTGGTCTCAGAGGCCAGGCCCTTGAGTTTACATTCGATGCAGTGGTCAGTGGGAGCCCTTGGAATTTCCAGGACATTCTCAAGACGGGCTTAATGAAGAAGCTGGCAGTAGACACAGGCTGGTTGCTGAGGGGAGAGCCTGGGTCAGTCAGTCCCCTGGTAAGGCAGAGGAGCTGATCTTGTTCTGTCTTATCAAGGTAGTTCCCGCCCTCCAATTTCTTAGAAATAGATCTTCCTCAACCTCCAACCTTCAGGTTCCAATAATATCTTAGATCAGTTCTATTTCAATGAATGAATGAATGAATGCCCTGGCAATGCTGAAGCGTGCACGGGCAGCCCATATATGGCGGTTCTGTTGAACTTGTCCATATAGGGTCTCATGGTCTATGTTGATGAGGATGACTGACCAGGTCTCTTCCTCAAGAGGAATCAAGGGATGGGCACGTGACACAGCTTGGCCAGTGGAAGTCCTTCCCTGGGAATGCTGACCTTGAAATCAGAGATAGACCAGGTCCTTCTCTGGCGCTGAAGCTATGGAATGTGTGTCTGGATACCCTGTCAGTACTCAGAATCTGAAGGCCAGAGAGGGGACATTCTAGCTGGATTCAAAGCTTCGTTTCCTCTCAGTCTGAGGATTTAATCAGCCTCTCCCCCACATGACCACGTGAATGACCCTTACCACCCCTTTGTGACTTCTCCAATCGGGTTAGAAGCTTTGTCATGCATAAGCCCCAGTGTTCAGCATTTACAGCCAGCAATATGTGTATCGTTCATGAATTGAACAAAAAAATTTCAAAAACACTGTGGGGTTGTTTTGTAGGCATCAAGTCCATGTTTCTTGCACATAGGACACAGCAGGAGAAAGTCTGTCTTCATTACCCGGAGTCAGAGTCAAGAAGTCTGGGTTCGCAGTGGGGTCCAGGCTTTCAGAGCAGGAGAGAGTCTGGGTTTGCAGTGGGGTCCAGGCTTTTCAGAGCAGGAGAGAGCCCTCTCCGTCGCTTGTGTAACGAGTGAAGCTGCTCAGGATGCTCTCCTGTCTGCTCCGCTGGGATTCCGGCGTGAAGTTGACGTGGACAGGACGGCAGCACAGCACAGCCAGGCACTTCCTGTACAGGTGTCCAAGGTATCTCCTGAACTTTTCCCCAGCAAAGGCGTAGATGAGGGGGTTGAGGCAGCAGTGGCTGAACGCCACTGTCTCCGTCACACTGAGGGCCAGCCTCAGGTCCCTCTTTGTGTCACAACTAGGGAAGAAGTTGTAGAATTTGAGAGTCTCCATGAAGATCACGATGTTGTAGGGCGTCCAGAAGAGGAAGAAGACCACCACCACGAGGAGGATGAGTCGGATGGCCCTGGCCTTCTTCTGATTCTTGCAGGAAAACAGAGTCTGGAGGATTCGGAAGTAGCAGAAGCTCATGACGAGCAGGGGCAGTATGAAGCCCAGGATGTTTACTTCCGAGTTGCGGAGCACGGGCCAGATTTCCTGGAGGACTTGGGGGTAATCACCCAGACACTCGTTTTCCTTTCTCTTTGTGAACATGAACTGGGGTGCCGCCACCAAGATGGCCGCCGCCCAGACGCCCAGACTGATGGTGACACCGTGCTGCACCGTTCGGTTGTTCATGGAGTTGGCGGCCAGGACAATGGCCAGGTACCTATCGATGCTGATGACGGTAATGAAGAATATGCCTCCAAAGAAGCCGATGAAGAAGAAGGCAGTGGTGAGCTTGCACACGGCGTTGTGGAAGCCTTCCTCGCTGACCAGGTAGTGAGTCCAGAAGGGCAAGGTGGCCACAAAGAGCAGGTCACTCAAGGCCAGGTTCAGGAGGTAGATGTCGGTGATGCTCTTGGGCTTCCGGCTGTTGGTGAGGGCGAGTACCACCAACAGATTTCCCACCAGACCGAAGGCAAAGACGAGGGAGTAGAAGATGGACAGGAAGACGGTCCCAAAGGCCACAATGTCGCCCACATAACAGGCCTCGGCAGAATCATCGTACTCAAAGTTCTCCAGATCCAATTCCGGGAAGATGGTGGGCATGGTGAGGGCCTGGAGCCGAAGGGGAAACACAGCCACATTAGCCTTAGAAGACTGCAATTCTCTCTGGTTGTGTGTAGACAGGAGGAAGAAAACACCAGCTGGGGGTCTACTAAATTCTATCTAATCTATATTCATGCTATCTTTTAAAACATTTCTTATTTTTGAAGCAGGGTCTCAATATGCATCCCTGGAATGCTGTTCTGGAACGCACTCTGTGGACCAGGCTGATCTACAAGTCACAGAGATCTCTCTGCCTCCGTCTCCCAAGTGTTGGGATTAAAGGCTTGCGCCACCACCACCCAGCAAGATTTGTTTATTTTATGTGTCCAGATATTTTTCCTGCATGCATATTTGTGTACCATGTGTGTGCCTGACCAGAAAAGGGTGTTGGATTCACTGAAATGGGTTACAGATGGCTGGGGCCATCATGTGGGCAGCGGGAATTGAACCCAGGACCTCTGGAAGAGCACCAAATGCTCTAAACTGCTGAGCCCCAGGGGAGGGATTTTAACAAGGTAGGAAGACCCACTCTAGCTGGGCAGTGGTGGCCACACCTTTAATCCCAGCACTTGGGAGACAAAGGCAAATGGATATCCTAGTTCCAGGCCAGCCTGGTTTACAGAGTGAGTTCCAGGACAGCCAGGGCTACCCGGAGACACCCTGTCTTTAAGAAAACAAACAAATAGACAAACAAACAAACACCCCACTCTGAATGTGGATGGAGCCGTTTCACAGGCTGGGGTCCCAGACAGAAAAGGAGACAGTGAGCAGATCTGCCGCAAACTGTTCTCTACTTCCCAACTCGCAGATGCCTGTGAGCACCTGAAGCTCCTGCCACCTCGGCTCCCCAGGGCTCCCAGAATAATCCCATCACCTCCTATAGGGGAGGAAGGGCCACCCTGTTGAGGTCAGAAGGCACCATGAGGCAACGTTCAGTACTGTCCAGCTTGAGTGTTGCTAAGACCACAGAGATACTTGTTTTCCTAAGAGGAAAAGCTTGCAGCCTGGAGCCAAGAATGCTTTCCATCACAGACACAGAAGAACCTGTGATTTCTCTCTCCTGTAAGTCACTTCTCGTCGGGTCACCAGCCATGAGGAAAATAACCAGCATAGTCCCCCACTCCTGTTTCACGGAACCATGGACTTTCCCGGGTTTAGTTCTGTGTGGGAAAGGCCTCCATCCCAACCACTCTGGGTTGACCATCTCACAGCCAATCCAGTAAAGAGGAAGCATTGCTGTAACCCAGGCTCTCTGTTTACAGAGGGACCAGCTGACCCCAGGCAGAGGATGGCTTCAGCCAGCCTGCTGCCCTTGGTTTGAGTGGCTAATCTATCCAGCTATTCCCAGCCCTAACCCATCCCTTATTCTTTTTCTTATTTCCTTAAGGGCAAGAATGGGAAAAGAGGACATTTCTCCATAGGCTGGGTAATAAAACTGTTCCCTTCCCATTTGTTTCCCAACCAGGGTGTGCTGGTCGCTCACTCCGTACTGCTCCTCCAGGCCTGCTCATCTGCTGCTTGAAACCACAGACAAAACCCTTAGAAGTCTGAAGGCATCTCAGAGCACACTTCCTGGATGCCTCCTTCCCCATAGAAACGGAAAAAACCGAGCTCATGGTTTTTAACAGAGGGAGTTTCCACACCCACCGCACCTTGTTCAAGATGGTTTCACCCAGGCCCACCCATGGCTACCTTCCTGCATCACCTGCCTCTTAGCCAGCCTCTTCGCGATGGACTGGGCTGAGGCTACCTGCTCTGGCCCACCCAGGCTGCGATGGAGCCCTCAACTCTAGGAAAAGCACGGGCGTTCCTTGCTTCAAGCTGCGGGACCCTGCTCTCTGAGGGGGCCTCTGCTGCCGCCCACTCAGCATCAAGTTGGTCAGGACCAGTCGCTGCCACACAGCACTTTCTGAACTCAGCCACCATCACCTTGAGACTGAGGCCGTGGCTGTGTGGTTACAGCGCTTGCCTAGGAAGCCCAAAGCCTTGGGTTCGATCCTCAGCACCACACAAACTGAGCTTGCTGGGATGTGCTTGTGATGCCAGCAGCTGGGAGAGGTGGAGGCAGGAGGGTCAGAGCTCAAGGTTATCATCTCACCTCACACCTGGACACACAGCGAGTTTCGGTCCAGTCTGGGGTATTGGAGACTCTGTTTCAAATATAAGCTAGGAAGTCAGAAAATAAATCAATAACCCCTAAAACGTGTAATTTCATATGTCTATGGTTGACAGATGAGCAAGCAGGAATTGCTACTTAGTCCATGAGACTTGTAACACAGGCTTGTCTTCCCTGGCATGGGAGGACATGCCATGAGGCAATATGAAAGAGGTCATACATGAGGGACCCCAGGACAGTCATATTCTTCCTCCTTTCAGTGTGAAAAGTTAGCAAAGCTGACCCCAAGAGGAGGCCAAAGTTGGGAAACACTGCTCTGCCTCTTCGTGCCTGGGATGCTTCTCCCAGCCCCATGACTTCTGTGGACTCACAGAGGTTGGAGCTTAGCCCGTGGGTAGCTTGGAGCCTTTGGGTTTGGGGGTCCCTCTGCAAGACTGGGGTTCAATCTGATGATTGACCATGGGCTGTTTCTAAGGAGAGAGCCTATTCCAACGTTACTCACAACAGACACTTGCAGAGACTTTCTGACCTTTAGACACACCCAAGCCGTGGAGACTCACGCACGGTTGGACCCTGGGCATGGCGGAAATTTGGTATTTGAAGATATGATTTTTTTTCACTGACACGAAGAGTGCACCATCTCCTTCTCATTTTGACCGTGGAGGAGAGAAAGATGCCCTTTATGAAGCTCTATTCAGTCCAGACAGAGCAAACTGAACTACGGTGAGCCTGAGCAAGACACCAAACACCTGCTTCAACACAAAACCCCGAGAGCCACGTGAGGTCCCATGACACAGGAAGCTGCCATGTGTGAAAAGGTTGGAAAAGGCTGTGTGTAAGAGGGTCTGAATATCTCCGGAGGGACAAGCTCGAGGTGGGGGCAGCAGCGTCATGGGGCAGTTCTGGAGACTAAAGGAGGGGAAAAGGAGATTAGATTTTTATTATATATGCTTGGATTTCTGTCTTAGCCATGTAAGTATTCTCCACTAGGAAACTATTTTAATTGATTGGCTTTCAATATTAGAAACCAACAAAAATATGGATTTTATGACAAACTAAATAAGTAGCCATCCAGCACAGTGATACCGCCCAGTTGTCTGCCTCCTGGAGAGGAGCGGCAGCTGGAATGCAGGTATCTTTGGTGGCTGAGGGGTCTGGGCCCTAAGACTTGAGAGCTCTGTAGGGACCACATGTGCTGAATGAATAGGAGCGGTAGGAGACCCGGAGCAGTAAAGTAAGCCTCACCACGTGGGGTCCCAGCAGAGGCTGGCCAGGCATGGGCAGGGCAGCCGGAACAGTCTGGGAAAGGTTTTCTCTCCCCCATCCAGTGGCCACGTCTGTTGGTGGGACAGACACCGTGTCTTCTGGGCAGACAGTGAGAAGCAGCGATGCCTCAGCCATATGAGTCAGCAGAGATGTCTCCTTTATCTACCTGGAAGGGGCTCATGGGCTGTGTCAGCTCACTGGGTTCAGCAGATGAACCCCAGAGCACGAGGATTCCACTCAAGGTGGAAATCTCACATCAGCGAAGAACGTGCCCTTCCCTTGACTCATCCTCCAGCCCGAGAACGAGAGCAAAGCAACTTCTGGTCTGACCTGGCAAGCCTCCCCACTCCCACCCCATCCCCAGGGTCTCCTGAGATATTCAGAGGATTGGAAAGTAAACCTAAAGATAGGACTTTCAGGCTATAGATGGAGTAGAGCCAGGAAACTAGGGTGATCTTCAGTTTGAGGCCAGCCTGGGCTACAAAATGAGGCAAAGGCCAGCCTGAGGTCAAAGGCCTGCCAATGCCTTGGAAGCAGTGGACAGTAGAAAGCAAAGGTAAAAACCCGACAAGGTATTCCTCGGCAGGATTCTCTCAGCAGGATCTTACTTCAGGGTCACAGGAGGCCTACTTGGGGGCTGGTGTGGGCGTAGCACCAAAGGATGGAGCATCAGCTAAACAGCTGAGGTTGTGCCTTACAACTCAGGCAAGAACACAGATCCCATGGGCTCAGCCAGTAAAAGTCTTGCTGTGCAAACATGAAGATATCCAGAACCACTGAAAGAAAGGCTTGTGTGATTGTGCAGGCTTGTCATCCCAGCACCAGGGAGGCAGATACCCAGGGCTCACGGACCAGTCAGCCCGGCCTAATCATAAGCCTCAGATCCCACTGAGAGATGATCTGAAAAGAAGGTAGAAAGTGCCTGAGGAATAACACGTGAGACTGACCTTTGGCCTCCACATGCATATACAGACATGTGCACACAGGTGCACCTGAGCATGCCCACACTCATAACCCATCAATATGGAGGGTGGAGGCAGGAGGACTGCTGGGGACTGCTGGCTGCCAGCCTAGCCCCAGGTTCAGGGAGAGAACCTGTCCAAAGGAATAAGGTGAAGAGTGACAGAGCAGGGTACTCCGTGTCTTCCTCTGGCCTCTGGGTGCACACACACACAAGCACATGCACAGGCACATGCACCACATACACTCGCTTGCATGCATGCATGCTCACACACACAAATGTATACATAAATATTCTCACTTCCCCGACCCAAACACATCCATCAAAAACTTCCCACAAATCCCTGGAAGCCGTTCTCAGGCCTCTGTCCTATCTGGCAGTTAACCCGTGGTTTTACTAGCTGGTATTGAACAGGGGCTGCGTTGAGCCAAGAAGCAGAGCTTGGAACGTTCTAGATCAGCGGTACTCATCCCGTGGGTCGTACCTTTCACAGATGTCTCCTAAGACCGTCAGAAAACACAGGCATTTGCATCACCATTCATAACAGCAGCAAAATTACAGTTATGAAGTAGCAACAAAAATAATTTTATGGCTGGGGTCACCATGACACGAAGAACTGTGTTAAAGGGTCTCAGCATTAGGGAGGTTGAGAACCACTGGGCTAGA